GCCATGGTTTATGTAAACACGATTTGCTTATTTATTAAATACACCATCATTACTTGAGTACACACCAGAAGCTTTCTTCAGTGGCAATTTTGAGTATTAGCTTCATCTAATCTCTTCTTATTCCCCTCTATTTTTTTAAAAAAAAATCAGGAAAATAAATATCTTTTTCTGCTGCCTAGAGAGTTAAAGAATATATGAGCCAAAATGAATATTTCAAAACAACTCTAGTCCTTTTTCCTGTTGTCTTCCTAATGTTGGTCCTGGCTCATCCACGTTTTCAAGAAAACAGAAGGCATATAAAAGAATCTAGGCTGCAAGTTTATTCTCATGCTTTTTCCTGGGAGTGATGTTTGTTAAAGTCAGTGGATCTTTTGAGTCGGCACTGTGGATCTGGTTGACATTAAGTAGGCAAGAAAAGAAAGAGAAAATAGATAAAGGAAGAAGCAGGATAAGGCTGTAATAATTAATTGCAATTTTGAGGGTAGCCTCTCATTGTTACACATCTGAATTAATTATTGCACTTATGGTTTAATCCCTTGTTTTATGCATTTAAATAAAAAAATGAAATTGAGCTCAGGCTCTATCAATATAAACAAGGACTAAAGTTTGAAAAAAAGATAAAGAGACAATAAAACAAAATAAAACAAACAAGAGATAATAAAGAAATATAGACAAATCAATAGTGAGGATTGAAACCATCCTTTTCTCTAGATAATTGCAGTGAGAAAGTGTTAGCTTCCCAAAAGCTTTTCCTGCAGTAGCTAATTCCACCAACACTAGGCAGCCATACAGAAGGCCATGTCTACCCCGTCAACAAGAAGAGTCCCCCATTTCATTTAGTGACACCATCCCAAACTCTCAGTGTCCACCTGGAAGTTTTGTTTTCGGACTCCACAGCAACTTCTTTTGCTGACTCGAGAAACCCACCCTCAGTACCCGCTTTTGTATAGGGGTTTGTTTATTTGTTTGGAGGAAAAGTAACAGGGCAGAGAGTGGGCTGTAAAAGCGCCCATTCGTTGTGCAATGCCACTGCTAGGGTTGGACTGCGGAGGAAGGGATACCCCCTCCCAAACCCCAAATTTTAAATCACACCAGTTAAAGTAGGGTAGATTTTTCAAGAAAGCAATAGATCGAGGCTGCTATCAGAAGGTGGGATGCTTTTTTAAAAAATCCCACTTCCATTATTCTGGATATCTGTCAAAGACGTGAGGTTCTTTCCAGATATTTTCGTCCCGCTCTCGGGAAGCAATGAAGGAGACGCCGGCTGGATTTACACAAGGCCCTAATCTATTAACCAAGATCTGATGCATAAACGACGATGGGTTCAGTCAGCGCTAACCCAGAGGTGAGTGTCTGCAAAGTGGGGGGAGCGCGCAAACCTGCGTCTGAGCCCCCGGTGCAAGCGAGTCCTGCACGGCCTGGTTTGGCGAAGCCCCAGCGATCCCGACCGACTCCCAAGCCTTAGGAGGAGCCTTCACGGATCTCAACATTCTTCGTTTGGCTAGAGAGCCCATCACTGAAGAGAAGCGTTCCCACCGCTGAGTGGAAATTGTCGGGGCAAGGATTCCAGTTTCCAGGTTCTTCAGACAAAGCTGAGCTGGGAATGATGGGTTTTTGGAGTCGCAGCTGAAAGAAGAAATGGGACGTAAGCGACCTTCATCAAGGTGTTTTGTTGGCTTCTGATGAAGACTTGGAGCTGGGGCACCGAACTTGGCCAGCAGCGTCCCCCCAAGCCCTTTGATTGCGATCCTTTCTGCGCAAGGAGAAGGCAGGACGTTGGTGCCTACCACGTCTCTCCCGAAATCGGAAGTATGTTGCTCCGTGTTCCCATATCACAGGGGTCTCCAACCTTGGTAACATTAAGCCTGGAGGACTTCAACTCCCAGAACTCCCCAGATAGCTTTGCAGCTCTTAACTTGGTCTTGGCGTGGTATTTCAAGTCAGGCGTCGTGTTGCCTTCCGTTGGCTTGGGCAATATATGAATCAACATCCTCGATTTTGGGTCGTGTTAAACCACGATTAAGGAAAGTAGGGCTCGTGAATGAACCAGGTTAGGAGTCCTACTTAGATGGAAAACCGCTGATGGGTCATCCCCCACACAGGGCTACAGGCTCGCTCCTAAGTCTCTGGCGACCCGTTCCGATTTTACACAGGTGGGATCTACGCCGCGCTCTAGCCTCGGCGACTTGCAAACCGAGTTGTTTGCAAGTATTACATTTGTTCAGAGCTGGGTGGGAGGGGAGGGGAGGTGTCTTAGCGCGCCGACGAGCTCTTTTGGTGAGTTCATGAGTTCAAAAAATAGATTAACTGACCCTGGTTAAACATCGTGTGTAAAGATGTTTACTCGTTCCTTACTCATGCGTGCGCTTGGAGGACTACGGGTTTCTGGAGCTTAAACTTGGGACCTCGACCTACACGCCGCCTCTTCCTCGCACTCCATTCCGAATTCTCTTCTCTGCCGCAAATCTCTTTGCAACTCTCTCTCTCTCACTCTCTCTCTCTCCTCTCCCCTGCCTTTCATTCTCTCTCTCTCTCTAGACTCCCTCTCTTTTTCGCCCTCGCTCTCGTAGGGGACCAAATGCGGAAATGCACTTCTTCAGATGGGGCTGTTTAAGACATTTAGGCTGTGGCAGGAATTTTGTTTCCAGCGCCTCCTTTTCCTGTCCCCAGGAGAAGCGCGAAGCAGGAGCTCCCTACGCGCCCGAACCAGACCTCGGGAATGTTGCTGTCCTTTTCTAAAAACTGAGGTGCGGATCGGTCGTTTTTATCTATGAAAATCAAAACCCCAAAAGGCGACGTTCGCCATAATTTTTGTGTGTGCAAATTCTATCTTGCCCCAGAATATTTGTTCCGAGTCAGTCCGGTTCGATGTTGGGTTTCTGCGTTAACTATTTTTCCGGATTAGGAAGATTTGGACCAATGCCTCCTTTTCCCGCTTTCCGGTCCTCTCCAGCCTGATCTTCAGTCCCGAGCTATGGATCGGTCTGCCGCGCGCCTCTGTCCGTTTAAGTTAGACAAGCCGAACAAACTGCACCTGATCCCCAAATAGTCATCATGTAGAGACTCTGGGGAATGAGTGCTGCCAGGTTTCTTTTCTCCCCAACTCCGAACAGATCCCAGAAATTGTAATTCCCACTTTAATAAATTATGGAATCTAGGCAAAACGGTAGTTTTTTGAAGACTGGTGTAACTTGAACTATTATGCAAAATTTAAAGTAAATACTGGCACATACAAGAACTCAAATTGTTAACCCAAAATCTGTGTCCACGTGTGATTCTTTCGTTTATGCCTTCCGATTTTCTCTCTCCTCCACCTTCCCAGTAAATACGAATTTAGATGCTGTGGGAGGCCTTTGCATTAGCCATTTTGATTGCAGAAAATTACACACACACACACACACCACACACTGTTCAGAGGTGACATATTCAGGCCATTCTCTCTCTCTCCCTCCCTCCCTCGCTCCCCACATCATTTCCAAAGAGGAATTTTGAACAGGGATGAGCAACTATGACCCCTTTAGGACCTGAGGATTTCAACCTCCAGATTCCTGAGCCACTCCTGGGAGTTAAAGTCCACAGGTTGTAAAGTTGTCATAGTTGCCACCCTTGGTTTGGAGTCTCCATTTAATCTTATAAAAAGTATAGAGTAAGCTAAGACTCCATTCTGAGTCAATGGGGGAGTGCGAGAGACTGCAGTGCTGTGGGCCTTACTTGGGAACAGTGTTATGGGATTCAACAGAATGAATCTACCTGCACAGAATTGTTGCAGTTTCCTTTATTTTGATTAGGCTTCATCCTGAGCAAGCAAACAACCCAGCTGCACATTTTTAGGAGTTTAAATTCTGTTGCAAATGTCCATAATTTGAAGGTGCATATTTACTTCAATAGACTTTGGTGGTTGTCCCCCCCCCCCCCCCGCATTAAAATGGAAGAACTTGGATTTGACAATTGCACAAGCCAGCAAGACTTGCTCCTTGACAGCATCAGACTCTTCTGAATGTCAGCCTTTTCCCATCAAACGTTTCCTTGCTCTTTGGGGCAATAGTGTGCATAGCATTCTGGGCATTGCATCTTCAGCTTCATATTGAAGCATCTTCTAAAATGCCATCTTTTCCTACTAGAAATGGTTTTTCCGTTCTTATCTCCGATTACGAACCCTTCACTAAAGATCTTTAATATTTGCCATTCTTGTTATTTTTACTTTCTGGGTGAGGAGATCTGGTCTTTTTTTATATTTCTTTTTGCATTTGCTGAGGGATTTTTTTAAAACTGAATTTAATGGAAAGAGGCATTTTAATTAATGGCAAATAGAGTTTGGGCAGCTATGTGTGTTTCCCCCACCATTAAGGGAGTGGTTGTAACTTGGGCAGTGAAGAGGGCCCTGTCCTACTGCTGGAGGTTAAGAAGGGAGCTATTAAAGTATTTTTGTAGTCTTAGAAGTGGCATCCTTTTCAAGAAAGAAAATATAGCTAGCATTTCTCTTCTTGTTTTCTCTAGTTAAAATCAAGAAAAATAATATATTAAGAAACTTTACAGGTGGTGGTATATTGTTATACTGTTGCTTCAGAACCATGTAATATTGTAATTCTTAGCTGAATTTCTCTTGAAATCAGTCTCTGCCTTTCCCAGTAGACCTAAATGGGAAGAAGATAATTTGGAACAAATTGGCAATTTAGAAACCTAGTTTATTCCTGCTCTTGTTTGATAGATATCAGTGACTATATCAGAACTGTTCAAACCTTATCACCATCCATGATGAGTACCATACACAAGAAGGAGCACACAAAATACTTCCATTCAAAGCAAAACTTATTCAAAAAGAAAAGTATGTAACACAATTCCCTTAGCATTTGAGTGGGTTTTTTTAATTCCACTGATTTAATTGATTTAATTGAATGACTGCAGATTCCCTGACACAATCCTTAAGAACAGAGAATCTTTTAAGAGCAGAATCCCTAGAGAATTAGAATAAGTATACTTAGCTGTACCTTGATATAGTTCTATGGAACATTTATTACAATTGCAGTGGTGAAAATTCATTCTTTAATCCTAGGAATAGTTAAGAGTTCTCCTTTCTCAATTCCAAGGAAGTGGATTACTGCTGTAATCATGCTGGCTAATAGCCAGCTGGAGGCTAGCCTGTTGCCCTGGGAGAAAAGTAAGCACGTTGAAATCAATGAAATTTAAATGCTCATAGTTTTGATGGGTACATATATATGACGTGTTAGCTTTCAGCTGCTTGCCAAGTTATCTCTGTCTGTACTCATCCTCCACTTAGGTTGTTGTCTTTGCAAGATTGTCTCTAGTGCTGTGTTGCTTGATTCATTGGATGGTTCCCATGGTTTCTGTTAGTAGATACCTAAACATCGTGTGAGGTTTTGGTCTTAACATACTGTGTGGGGGCAACATTCCTGGTCATGAGGGGTTTGAAGGTTGCATTGATTTCTCCATTGCTTGAAGAAACAGGCTACCCTGTCTGGCTCTTCTTCAAAGCGTATAAATCTGAGGGGGAGAAGCACACAATTTTTGCCCCACTGATGTATGAACCTCCCAGTTTAAAAGATTACAGTAATCACCAGAGGACAGTGTAAATCGAATCGGGTAGCAATAACTTTGGAGTAGGTCAGGCTCAAGTGAAATGTTACCAGGCAACAGGCATTTTCTTTACCAAATACAATCAAAGCTCATTGATGAGAAATTCTTCCCTGCCAGCTAGTCAGCACTTTTCTGCTTAACGGCTTAGGAGAAGGGAGGAGGACACCTCCATCCGTCAAATATCCCTGCATGCTCCAGGGGGCTAAGCGGCTGCTGCTGCTGCTGGATGATGTTTTGCAAGAATTTCTGACCTGGTTCAGACACCATGCTAAACCATGGCAGGGCTAAGTGTGGATTGTTGAATAAACTACAATAGGCTAGATTTACAGAATAAATTAAACTAGAAACATGGATCATAAATAGCAATGGCTAGGTTCACATACACATAAAACCAAAATCAAATAAACAAGAGATATGTTTATATAGGGTTGTCCAAACTTGGAATCTTTTAAGACCTGTGGATTTGGCTGGCTGGGGAATTCATAGAATCCATAGTATTCTAAGAATTAAAGTCCAAGAGTGTTAAGTTTGCCAAGGTTGGAGGCCCTGCTTTACACCATCTGCGTATATATTCGACATAAGTGATCATTCTCAGAAGGAAAATAATTGTTGAGCTAAGTTATCTAAAACAGCAAATAAAGTCCTCCTTAATTTAAATAGATATAAATATTTAGCTTTATTCAAATGCTCATGTTTGAGTGACTTATTGTATACATGTTTTCAGGAAGTCTGTTTGAATGAAAAGGGATGATATGGTTCTCTGGGAGACTGCTGGGGACATGAACTAAGCTTCAAGCTACTTCTGGGGATTTCAATAAACTTGCTATAAATCCACTTACTCAGTTTCAGCAATGTAAAATTAAAACAGTTACACACGTGAATTAAAGGTGTGTGTAGATTCAGCAGGTGAGATGGATTCTTGAAGGGGGAAAAAGAATTCAATCTGAGATTTGGACCAACACTTAGGATGACTTGCAATTGTAATGTAGGCTTAACAACATAGGATACAATTTGATAAATAGATCTGGAATTCTTGTTGAATTCTGTTAGTCTGACAGCAAAATAATGTACAAATGTGAATATTTTCAAAGCAATGTTAATTGAATCCTGACACACAAAATCTTCACCTGAAAGATTTGGCATTTTAAAACTGTAATAAAATATTTTTTCTTGAATTCCATTTGGGTTTGGTTCTATCTATTGCAACATGAACATTTATGCACTTTGCTGTAAAAAATTGGCAGATTCAGATGAAATATTTATTTTGTCTTGGTTACAAATGCTAATGAACAAGAATGCCTATTTACTTTTCAAAAACTATTTTGGTTACAACCTTCTCTACTTATCTTTTTCCTCTCACTTTCTTTAAATAAATGAATGAAACAGATACATATTTGTAATAATGATACATGTATTGAATCTCCAGATCAATTTTACATAAAATTTAAATCTAAATGGTAGACTATTTAGAAGTAGTCTCTAGAATATTTAGAATAAGTTGCCTGAAGGCATTATAGGTGAGGAAAGGGGAATTGATTTATTAATGCTTTTAGGATTTACATGTAGTTGAGATTATGATATAAAGTGCATAATTTATAGTTATTCATGTAATAGATATCCTGGTGGGTATTTTCCTATTCTACCTAATAAGTATGGTATTTTTACACTTATTAGTTTTTGGGTTCTGATAGTTTTTATGCCTGCCACAAGTGAGTGGAACCCCGAGCAAACATGAGACTAAATATTCAGATCAAAAAGGGTTGCCTACCCCAATCTAATGTGTAAAAACAGGTGTATTTCAGGTAGCTATTTGTGCTATTTCTTGCTTACTTTATTCTAGCAAGAAGTTCAAGAATATAGGCTAAAATGAAGGAGTGTCTAGGAAAACATGCTACAGGACATTTCATTCAACAGAACCCATTCATGTTGTCTGTGGTTTTCTCACAAAGAGGTGTGGCTTGGTGAACTGCACAGAGAACTCAAATAAAGGCAAAGTTTAGGATTAGTATGTAATCTTAATTTATCTGGCAGATTTTTGTTTTGCTTTATGGTCTTATTCTATTTTATTTTTAATTTAATTTTATTCATTTTATTTTATTATTTATTTTATTATTTGTACCACCAAGTCATGTAAGTGAGGATAAAGGAAATTGCAAAATAGTCAAGGAGATTATTTTTAAAAAACACTTTCAAAATTAATCAGATATGATTAATTAGATATGAAAAGGCAATCCCAAATCAACAGAACTCTAGCCCTTACTAATACCAATTTGGAGTTTATTAAACAATATAGAAACTTGAATATTTAAGAGTTCTTCATCAGACAAGCATTCTGGAAGGAAAAATCTTACTTTAGCTGTCTCCTTACTTCCCTTTTGGTGAACCATGATGAGGTTTCAGAAATTGAGAACAATTATTTTGGAAATTAATAAAGATGAGAGCATACATGTTTTCCAGACAGGATGCTTCAAGGTGGCATTTGACCTATGCTTTGACAACAATGACCAAAGTTTTAAGATTCTCTTCAGGATTTAGTGACGGCTGATTGATAAGAGTACTTTATCATAGTAATGCCATGGACCACAAATAAATTCTTTTTTTCTCAGTTGACTTTGACTAAAAGAAAAACTATAATTCCTTTGAAAATCATTTGGTGTTAATGAATCACTGATTCTAGTCTCAATATTTTCTAATAAATGAACTAAAATGCTTCAATGATATACTTGGTTTATTCTTATATAACTGTATGAACATAGAATATTGTAGTGGTGTAATAGATAAGTGATCTACAACAAGAGTTATGGGAAGTAGCAAATGGGGACATGATTTCCTTATTTTCATTTCCAATTTGTGACTGTGGTCTGTGGTACAAGCAAAGCATAATATCTAGAAAATAAATAAAAGGGCCAAAGTCATTATAAATGGATTAAAGAGGTGAGGTGGCACAGTGGTTAGGGTGCAGTACTGCAGGCCACTTCAGCTGACTGTTATCTGCAGTTCAGCGGATCTAATCTCACTGGCTCAAGGTTGACTCAGCTTTCCATCCTTCCGAGGTGGGTGAAATGAGGACCCAGACTGTGGGGGTGATATGCTGACTCTAAACCGCTTAGAGAGGGCTGAAAGCCCTATGAAGCGTTATATAAGTCTAACTGCTATTGCTAAATGGGCAAATACCCTATCTTTGTTATAAATCAACACCTTTTTAATACTTGTAATCTAGAACAATATATTCATAAGGATTCAGTGCTTGTAATAGTCAAAAAATGTACACAGAAATGATAATGCCTTTGTTCCCAGTGGCATAACAAAGCTGCCCTCTGTTTTATAGACATGACAGAAGAGCGACTGGGTGACGTCAGTGGAGGAGACAGTACTGAGACCTACAGTGACAAAGATACAGACCAAAGGAGTTCCCCAGAGGTGACCAAGACCAAGAACAGCTTCACTCCCGAGAGCCCTGAAATAGTTTCCGTTGATGAGGGTGGTTACGCAGTCCAGAAAAGCAGCGGGAGCACTGACAGCAGACCTGAGAGCCCTAAGTATCAACCAGAGCAGAACCATTTCTTGATTGAAGGCCCATCAGGGACAGTTTCTCTGCCATTTGGCTTAAAAGCCAACCGGCCACCCCTTGAAGTGTTAAAGAAAATATTCCCTAACCAAAAGCCAACCGTGCTTGAATTGATTTTGAAAGGCTGTGGGGGTGACCTGGTGAGTGCGGTTGAGGTCCTCCTGTCAAGCAGATCCTCCCTAGGGGGAGGAGACAGAACTTCTGCAGAACCAGAAGGCCTTGTTTTGCCTTCAAATGGGCACCTCTTTGAACACACTCTGAGCTCCTATCCTATCTCCTCTTCAAAATGGTCAGTGGGGTCTGCTTTTCGAGTCCCAGACACACTGAGGTTTTCTGCAGATACTAGTAATGTTGTACCAAATCCATTGGCTGTTCCATTACAGCATCCCTTCCCACAACCTCCTCGGTATCCATTGATGTTGAGGAATACTTTGGCAAGGAACCAGTCCAGTCCATTTCTACCCAATGATGTTACTTTGTGGAACACCATGACCCTTCAGCAGCAGTATCAGCTGAGGTCTCAGTATGTCAGCCCCTTCTCTGCTAATTCTGCCACGGTCTTCCGAAGTTCTCCTGTCCTTCCCACTCGCCCGTCAGAGGATCCTAGAATCTCACTTCAAGAGGACGGATGCCCAATTGTGGCAAAACAACCCATTTATACAGAGGATGACTATGATGAAAGATCTGATTCCTCAGATTCTAGAATATTAAACACATCTTCGTAATATGATTATTTGCCACGACATTTTTCAATGTGACAGAAATGCTGGACTTCATACAAAAGAAGCAGTGGGTCATATATCTACAGGAAAAAAGTGACTCTGCTTGTTACTATCTGTTAGCAATAAAGACATAATTTATTTTATTTCTTGCACTTCACTGAAAAATGCCAAATAGTTACTATTTCATGGCTTTAGTGCTGAATGTTACTACTGGAAAAAAAAAATTAAACACACAAGTAAGAAACTGGGGGGGGGGATTGTAAAACTATTAAAGAAGAGCAAACATGTATTATCTTTTACACTACTGGGAATGTTGATATTGTCTTGAATGCAGTGTTCAACAAAAGGACTCCTCAGGATAAATAAGCAACTAAAAAGCAAATAATTAAATAGCAAGAGGACTAAGCAGTGACCTTGCTGACTTTATGACCATCCCTGTCTTGGTGTTATACCCATGAGTCATAAAAAGACTAAGAATGAACTGCCCACATGTGGTTCCAGCTGAAATACTTTTTGGAGGCACCATAAATCCTATGTTTTTTACACGGCTTGATAAAACAATGTTATAGCATCAATGTAAAGTAAATAACAGCTGTAAGTTGCATGAAACTGTCTTGTGGAAAAAATGAACACATTAATTAAAATTGTCAGGTTAATGTAGCATGCTAAGGACTTGGGTGGGTGGGTGGAAATAAACTCTATGCTGATCTTGATTTTCACCTGTCATTTATATCTGGAGAAAGTCAGCTTGGCTTTATAGATATGTTGTCCTGAATGAAATTTTAGGTTCTCTTGCCCTGAACATGAGATGTAAATATAACTGATGAGAGTAAGTAACTTTTGAGACCTATAATCTAATATTATAAGCAGAGGAAGTATATTTACATTAAAACAAGAAATACATTTATACAAATGCAGTCATATATGTTGGTGATAGTTGTTGTTTTTGGGCTTTCCAAGAACTGTTACCTTTTTTACTTCTCTAAATTCATTGGATCTTTGGGGAATTCCTTGAATTATCTCATTTTCTTGGAAAAATTTGTCTGAAACTATCCTGATTCCTATTTGGAGTCTCCTATAAAGATGTAAAAAGAATGGTAAGTTTGGGAAGAGATAAACTCAGGAAGTTGCTGCGGTGTGTTGAAACAATGCATACATTTATAATATGCCTTTTATCTTCTTTTATTTTCCAAGTAAGGGACACCCTACCTCACATCTAGCTGTTGAGAGGATAGCTTTATTGAGAAGAAAGGGATCAGGGGAAAAAAGAAACATTGACATTATGAATACAACTTTTTTCAGGGAGTATAAAGGCTAGTGATGCGCAAAAGAAAAGTAATTTTAGTAATTTTAAGTCTGTGACAGAAATTATTTAAGTCCATCTAAAGCTAAAAGCCTGCAGTGTCGCCTCTTCCATTATGATGAGTACCTAAACTACACAGGGTCAAAAGAGAAAGAGAATTGAGCTGAGAAAGGGAAGGATTGAACCCCCCCCCCTAAAAATATGAGAATCCTGGGAGTTGTAGTTTCAAGAACCTAGAAATCACCAGATTTGGGAAGGATAGCTCATTATATTAAACATTTATAATATCTCTACGTGATTATGCTTTGGAACTGTTGTCCTGAAATCCATCAATATTTCTGTGATGGGCACTGTAATCTCTGGACTACATTTTCCAGATAAAAATAAGTGCAGTTCCTGTTAATGCTGTGTGCCATATTATTGTTGGGATCCAGATTATAAGGCTATAATCTTTTCTAGCATTAGAGTTGAAACAGTATAATTTATTTTCCATGGTTTTAACCTTACAAATGGAATTGGAGTATAAATAAATGACGGTGTACCATGAGCCATAGTTAATGTCTGCACAGAAATTGCTGAAAATTGGTCTGCTTCTTGCTTCAGTAACATATTCCATTTCATAACAATTCAACATAGAGTGAGAAAGAGTGAATACCCACTGCTTTAAGCGCTCAAATTGACTAGAAAGATAAGCTATAAAAAGCAGATATATCACATTTTGCTTCACACAGACTCTGACAGCAAGAAATTGCAAAAGTGAAACACCTGTGACATCAATTAACATCTGTGCATTCTGAAAAAAATGTTTGCATTTCACCTTTGTGGGAGCCAGAAAAAAATTATTGACAAAGCAATTTAATAGCAGAAACTAAAATGAAGATCAAAAGGGGGGGGGGAAGCTAAACCTAAATACACCATATTGCGTTTTTAAAATACAGTAGAGAAGAAGAACTATGAGGATTTTCAGTTTTGTATTTTTGAAACTTTTAAAAAGTCAGTTAAAATTACAACCCACAACTTTCTACTTCTGGTGGAAATGATACAAAGACTGCACCTGTGTGACCCATGGAAGGAAGGTAATTCTTGATAGAAAAGCAATACAAGGTCCCAAATTGAATGTTCCAAGTTGAATGAGTCTGTCCCATCTCTGAAATGCAAGTGGACCAAATCCTATTCTTTAGCACTGATTCTTCTCTCCCAGTTCCTGGCTTCACAGCAGCTGTACATATAATCCTGACTTTACCCTAAGAAGGGGATGAAAAAAAACTTTTTAAAACTGTTTTGATCAGTGATCAGATATTGATATACATTCTTAATTTATCAGTTAGAATGGCTTCCTTAATTTAAATTTTTTGTTATTTTTTTTCCAATAAGAAGCACTACATTCTTAACTCCATTCATCCCAATTGGTCACAAGTACATTTCGTGCATTCTGTCCACAATCACATATATTCCATTCAGTTTAAATTGTATATATTAAAATTTTATATATTTTACTATNTGCTATTGCTATTCTTTGGGTTTTTCTGTTTCTCAGTATACTTGCTATCAAAATGCCAGCCTCATACTTGTTTAGGTAGTGTAGCTTTTAGACAAGCTGCTAGATTTAGGAGGCCTCCCCCCTATGGTTTTTTGTTTAAGGTGATTTTCCACAAAGGTGGTTTGTAATCGTAGTCCTTGGATGTTTTCTTCTTTTACAGGTTCTGTGGTCTCCAGTGTCTCAGCCAATAACATTACAGTTGAGAAGACCTCTGCGCATGCGGAAGCCAATGGTGAGAATCCAGAGCCCTTGTCTCCCGGACTCACTCAGAGCAAAGCCTGCAACTCGAAGATCTATCATAAACAGTTGGCCGCCCTCAATTGTTCTGTACGGGACTGGATAGTTAAGCATGTCAACACCAACCCGCTCTGTGACCTGACCCCCATCTTCCATGACTATGAGAGATACTTGGCTGACATAGAGCAAAAGGGCCTTGCTGGCAGCGGCAGCTCTGGAAGCAGCAGCAAAGCCACGGAAGCTCAGCCCCGTCCTGCGTTTGGGAGCACCGCCCTCCCGCAGAGCTCCACGTTTTTGTTCAGCAGCAAATCGGAGGAGACCCTCGGGAAGAAAACGGAATTGGAAAAGAAAACGGAACTCAAACCGGCAGCTGCCTCCACTACCACCTTATTCTCTTTTGGCAAAAGTGGCAAATCTGGTCTGAGTTCAGGGGCGGCAGGGTCTGGATTCTCATTTTCCCCTGGAAATGGAGGTTTGTTTGGCAAAGATGCAAGCCAGACCAAGGTGGCTTCTTCCTTTTCCAATAATGCATTAGACGCCCCGGCCGAAAAAGCTGGCAACACACAAAGTAAGTATGAGACTGAGAAATGGTGTTATCCCATTTAACTCTCTGGTGATCTGTCCCCATTTGTGTTGCAGAGTGCCTGTCTCTACATTTGTTTGAGGGGTGGACCATCAAGGTTTACAAATTCACTACATTTTTTGGGCCTGATTAATGGCTGCATGTCCATTAGCGTCAAGATGGAAAGTGAGACATATCTCGCTCTCGCTCTCTCCCTCCTTTCCTCTCCCTCTCTCTCTGATGAGCCAAGGTGGCGCAGTGGTTAAATGCAGCACTGCAGGCTACTGCTAGATCAGCA